TTATGGACCGCTTCGTAAAAGATGCAAGAAAAGAGCAGAGAAAATGCCTCAATCAAAGAGTTTTCTTGTTTTCATACTTGTAAGAGAGAGTGTCGAATATTGATATGGATAAGCTGAAATAGAAATTTGCCGTGAAAATGCATGTGGCCATTCACGTAGAATCTATTCTTGTCTTTTCATGTCAAATCTATCAGAAAGAAATAAGCTAATTTTCCAGTCTTTATTTTGACGGCGCTTTTCCGCACCTAGTATAACTTAAAGTGAGTGTGCGTCTTTATTTTACTCTCAGTCACTATGTGCAATTTTGCAGCTTCTCGATTTTATGCAAAAAGAAAGTTTTTCTGATCAAAGGGCATGTTTATCGGTTTGATAGGACTTTTCCGGTTTACTATGATGCATAATCGCTTTATAAATAGAATTTTGCGAAAGCATTGTCCGCGTACTTGTCCGCGATGGTATTCGACTACTAAATGCGTATTTCCGTCGCGTTAATACGCTTAATCCATGCGCTCTCACACCTCGTCATCTGTTATGTTGCTGTCGTTTTCAGTGTGCACAGTGTGTAACGACAGAATTTCGGCGTTCTATAAAGTGGGATGTTTCACATGAGACCCCATTCATCATGTGTAACCGGCAGCTGGCGATCTGCCCCCTAGCATTATAGTGGCCGCTTGCTGTTCACAGCTTATACTGCTATTCGCACATGAGCGATAAAATACACGTCACAGTTTCGATTTAAAGGATTGAAATCGAATTGGGGCACAATAGATAAATCAATGGATCAATGGAAAAAAGAAGTGCATACATTTAGGATTTCATTTTTAGTGAGTCTTGTTATTCTATCTGCCCTGGAGATAGTAAATCATCAGCTTTTTGGGTAACAAAATGAGAGAAAAGCGAAGATTTATAGGAGAGGTTCGCTATAATAAATCGACATTGATATATTTAAGCAAAAAATATGAAAAATCTTGGCAACACAAGCCGTTCACTCGAGCTCAAGTCGTGTTTTTTCTATGACCTTGTACACGCTAAAAATTCCAAAAATCTGATTTTCTTCTCAATTATTGTTTTATTACCGAAACTTTTTTTAAGAACTTTTTGTCAGAAGTTGTAATTCGCATTTGCTTTATTCGACGTTTTTTTCTTGAAGTAAAGCCTCCAACATAGTACCCAAATAGCTGAGAAAATATCGTAATCGAACATCCCTGTCAGAACTTATGCACTCCAAGTTTCCATTCGATATTTTTATAGATAAATCCGTACCTAATAAAATACAGCGATTTTTGTATTTAAGAAAACTGCTTGTAATAAATTACGAATATTTCCCTAATTTCTTATGATTTTGTGCAAGATTTACGAGATTCTGGAGGGGATAACCGTGTTTTTTCTAACAAAAAGTTTTCTCAAACGAGTATTTTCTTTTTCCACAATCAGTCTTGATACCGTGACCTTCTAAGAGCTCTCTCCATCAATTGCATGTTATCTATGGTTGCATAAAGTAGTGAAGCAATCCTCTTATTCTTCTTCTCAAAGTTGTTGAGGAGGGCAAGATCCTAGAGGTTAATCAATTCTGGTCAAGTGGAACTTTCTGCAACTTCGCGAGTTTTTTGGTCAGCGGATATTAGCATATTCTAGTGAGTGGGGGAGTTTTCTAGTCTGCTTTGCCATCGACACTTTTTTGTGGAATCTTGACTGTAATAATAAAATAAAGTAATTTGATCAATAATGTGGAATACCATATGATATGAAGCGCTCATATCTTTAGGTTTGATAAACTCATCACAGTTTAGAAGTTCTTAGATTAAATGAGTTTATGCACATCATCAAACAACGTGTCCGCTTACTCTAATGTCAAATGTTTTGTGTTTCTGTTCTCTAGCTTTGTTTCTTGTTTCGCTGAGATCATGGACAATGAATGGCAAATGAAGTAATAAAAAATTTGCGGCTTAACTTTTGTTCTGAATCTCCATCTTTCCATCTTAATTTTTTGGATTTAAAATGTTAATAAAAATGAGCCAATGCTCACCTTTGGCCAAGTTCTACTTCAAATTTTTTTCTATTCTAAAGCCTACATGTTTCACAATTGAGAGGAACGTGCTGTTTGGCCCCTGTCAAGATAGTATTATTTTTATTGTGTTGTTAATGATCTACGTTCGAACTATAAGTAAAGGGTTGCTTCTTGGTTTCAAACACTTGACAGATCTTGGTGAATGAACCATTTTTTGCACTTCCCATCCTCTTAAAATCTAAGAATTCAAAAATATTCGGATTGAGAAATCCAGAGAAGTTAGGCAAATCAAAATGTTGAAAATCATTAAAACTGTATGGAAGCTTTATAAGCGACAGACAAGAAATTTGATTTTCAATGCAGAAAAGGGGTGCAGGGCACAGCATCGTGTGCAGCAATTTCATCTCGTATAATGTTCCTTTTTTCCTGCAAACTCTTCCCATTGCATTCGGGAACAAATTGAGCATTAGAGCTGAATGTTTAGATTTTATTTGTTCTGTGCTAGACACATGTCAGCTGCCGGGCCATAAGGCTATAATAATTATCATCTAATAGTCTAATCCATAGTTTTTCGACAATAGCAATTGTCAAGTGGAGGATTTAGGCGTCTTGCCAGCTGTTTTGCCATCGGTCACATCTCTACCACGCCAATCATCTATAGATTCATAGTTTGGAGAAAAATATCATTCTAGCATAAGCGCTGGTACTTTTTTTGGTTGAAAAAAGGATGAAACCTCTCGAAAATGCAAACAGTTCGCTTTGCAAAACTTTCGTTCTTATCCTCTATGTATTAGGCTAATGCATAATTTTTGCACCGAAATTTCTGAAATTTTGTTACTATTACCAGCTTCAATAAAATCTTCTGATTCTGATAAATACTAGAAAGAGAAACCTTGCGCTTTCCGGTTGTGCTTGATCAAATTCTTTGTTGGCGTATGGCAAACACATAAGCTGTTTAATACTGAAAAGTGATTACTTTTTGAATTCTGTTCGCTAAAATTGCTAAAACGTCTATTGAAATCAAAATTTGTTTTCGACCTTGGTTTTAGGGCATACTTTTTTTTGAATTTTTTTTTAATATAAGGAAGTTGCTAATGGATCCTTAGTCTCTACGATTGATTCCAAATTTCGATTTTTTAATATGTTTTAATGGCTCTATCTGAAACTGATTTTCTGAGATCCACCATAAATGACTATCTTTGATGAACAAAAGAAAAAGCATCTTGCATAGATTGAATGGCTTGTTCGAACATTCTTAAAATTTTTTTTCTGATATCCCATTCTGCTTGTGATTATAAACAATTGTCAGGTTTAAAGAGATTGGAACATTCAAGTCGAAGTTTTTTCTTTTTTTGTATAAAAATTGTGCATCAACCTAGTACTAGTAATTACCGTAAATCTACAGTAAATCCGTTCCTCACTGTGCAAAATCTGCATTCTGAACCCCTAACTACCGCGCAACTGTACAAAAATTTTGCTATTAATATAATATATCGCTGACTCCATATGTGTCATGTAAGCGTTGTCATCACATCCGCATTTTCACATTTTCGTCATAAATGCTTTACGAGCACTTTTCTGGACATATTCCCCAATGAATATCACAGTTTTCGTTCCTGTACTTCGTCCGTCGTTCGCCTTTTCTTTCTTTGCGTCCTTTAAATGCCATAATTAGATTTTGCGCAACAATGTTGCAATCATTGCAGTTCAGTTTGTGTGAGTATTGTTCTCTTTGCAAATGCTCGATAAGTCGAATTTATCTCACTTGTAGGTTGAATACTCTTGATTTGCAGCTCCTTTTTATCTTTTTATTCCAAAAAATCATAGAACTCTATTATCAAGCTCCAAATGTACATACCTATACGTCTTCTAGTGTAGCGACCACCTAATTATTATGCAGAAAATCAATTTTTCTCCTTCAATAAATCCCTCTGTGTAGCTCAAATATCTCGTTTGAAATTGTAGCAGCTTGAATATAAAAGAATTATTTCTTTCCTGGCCCTTGCTTTCCTTTTTTCGATCATCTCCCCACATCAATCATTATTTTTATAATGACGTGACAAGCGAGTGTCTGTGTTCTTTGCAGTTTATAAGAAATGTAAATATGTTAACAGACCCACGTGAACTGACGCTAAAATGCCCATTGGGACTTGAAAAAAAACAAGCCGTTAAACTAAGCTGTTCCAGTATTCTTCGCTTTTTAAATTAGTATCTTTCCAGCCCTCAGGCCATGGACAGGGCTTGAGACCTTCTGGAGCAGCAGCTTAATAAGCTTTGGGATTTTGTTGAGCAAAAAAATCAAAGGCTTTCTTTATCACTCAGGATTCCATTCAAATACATATGTCAGATATATATGTGAATCTTGATGACGCTTTGCGATGGATCTGGAAATCTATACGTTGAGCTAAATCTAAAGCTTTACGAAACTTGGATAAGAAACAATTTTTAGATACGCACTTTTGTTGAGAAGGACTCATGTAGACAAAAAGAGTTCCATTTGCACTGATATGTAGATTTTACTTATTCAAATGTTTTGTTAGCTTTATATAATAAAGAAAAACATTGAATCTTTATCATGGATGTTATCGTGTCGGATTGAAGTTGTTTTGCTTGTGCGATATACGTGCTGAAAGAATTTGCCTCTCTTCTAATTTTTTTCTTGCATGATGAAGTGTACAAATTCTACCTTTTACGCTGTACGTGATAAATTTTTCTAAAAATTAATGGTGTTAGAGATTTAGCAAAATTGGTGTTTCTCACTCTCAAAGATGGATTTTTGTGTCATTTCGTTTTCTCCGCTTTCAGAATTTATATGCACGTTTAGGCATTGCATATTTTTGGTTCAAGTATGTGCTATACAAAACTAAAGCTTCAAGTTTTTGATCTCTCTTATGCTCAATTGCTTTGTAAACTCTGCGAAAACCTGACGTTCTCATAGATCGTACCTTTATCCCTTTGCTGTGGCGCTTATGTCAATTTTTATCAATTCCAGATTTAGTGCGGTGTAGTACTGTAGCGTATGGTAATGTCCCAAAACGACATTCGACTTGGTGTATACAGGTTGGTTGAGTTTATTCTGAGAATAAAGAATGATAGAGTCAGCAAAAATCAATAATGCACCTTAATAATCGAATTCAATTCACACTGTAAATAATAAGTTCTAGATACTATTTCTCTCAAATTTACCAACCTCAAATAAAATTCATGGCTTGGAAAAGATGGATCTGGTATATAAAAACTAAACCCCGAGGAGAATGTGGTATTGAACAAAAAGGCTATTTTATTTGATTGAAAAGTCCATTAGCTGCATCATTTTTTTATCTTTTGAAATAACTTTGCATTTTTGAGATTCAAAAATGAGTGTATAAATTAAGTATATTCTTCCTATATTCTCTACACATTCTTTGAAATTTTTCATTGTTCGTCATTATTTTTCGAAGCAATACTTTTGTAAAACTTGAGCAACACCATATTTCTTTCGTACAGCTACAACTTTTAAAACTTGTTTATAAAGTCTGCACTATTCCACATTGACGGCGCATTTTTAATCCGATTGCATTCCCGATATTGACTTATCAATTTGCATCTGAAATCATTTTGCTGGGGAATTCATAGCTTAGGATTGATTTATCGAGAAAAAAAGAACATGTGCAGCTTGAGGGACCAGTCACAACTGAAGACTTTGCACTTAAAGTTCACCTTTATAGAATTTTTTTTGTTTGATCATTTGGCATTTTTATTTATTATTTTTGTTATTTATCATTCTTATTTGTTTGATCATTTGGCATTTCTATGCCAAGTGGAACTGTAGAAGGCAGACCAAAATGGATTGGATATTGATGCAAAAAAAATTTTCTTCGTTGGAAAGAGCAATCAAACTATTAACTTCCAATAGACTTAATTTATATTGTACCAAAATCAGTCGAGAGATGTACAACGGAAGATGAATTCAAAACTAAATCTGCGAGTTTTTTTTTTCAGAAGTCGCACAGTTGACTGGTTCAAGGTCCAAAAATATCACACGTTCCAAATCTTGAAATGAATGGTCGGCAGCTGTTTGTCCATCTTATAAGCAAGCTTAACGTGACAGCTTAAGTGCGAACGACATTAGAAAACAGGATGGGGACATTTGTAAAGAGAGATGCGTATGGATTTGTCCTTGATTATTCCGAACGCAAAAATCGATGAAAAGCATTCGCAAGATGGATATACTGGCAAGGAAGAATTCCAGCCTAAGACTCGGAAAGCATTCAAGAAACAGAGAGACGACTCTAAACAAGGGCTGACCCAATGATCCCAACATGGTTCTTTCAACTAATGTTCCATGAAACGCTCGACGTGACCTAGTAATTTCGTCGAAGAAAAGCAAACCGAAATGCCGAGGTTATAAGTTTTGGACGGCTTTAAGACAAACAAATTCCTTATTCCTTTCATTTCATTTGCTCAAGTCACTTGTGCTTGATATGTATTTTCTCTCAACGAAAAACGCATATGTGAATACGAAAGTAGGTTTCAGCCTTTTAAAGCAGATCTTTGATGCATCGTGACCAACAGGAGCTGAAAGTTTTACATGCTTCGAGAATGAACTAGTAATTTTCTTGTAGCAACAATATTTTTGGAAATTTACATTTGCAAAATTAGTACAAAAAGTATATGCCTTGACAATGACAGTCCTGAGTATATTTGGGAAGGGAATGTGGGCGCGAAGGAAGAAGGGGGGGGGGGGGAGATGGGCAGGAGATCACAAAAATTGCTCTTGAAAGGGCAAATTCATTAGATAGTTTTTAGATTTATGTTGGCCTACACAAAAAATTTTGTCTACGAAGTCCGTTTTAGATTTCGATTTCTACTAAACATTCCAGTTGCTTGAACCAAGCGGAAACAAATAACTTTCACATTATTATATCTCATGCAGACAATTTCCAATATTGCGACAAGTTTCAGTCTGCTTTCAGACTTGGTTCTTTCTAGTCTAACAACTCCAACCTCCTATATACGACTTTTTTTTTGAAATATTTCATTTCTGAATACTTCCCCCCCCCCTTTCCCAAGGTTTAGCAACTTCAAAAATATCTAGGATCAAAGGAGTTTAACATTCATGCATGCGAATTGGAAGGCATTACGCTGAACCTCACACGTGACATATGTTGGCGTGATAACAAAACAAAGCTGTCTTACAGCTAGATTACAAGTTGAGGTCTCAGCCTCAACTGCTCTGCCAGCAGCCACCTTCCTTTACGTCCACAAATTCAGGGTCCAGGTATGCTAAATTACTATATAAACAACTTGTAAGCATATGGGTGAAGTGGAGGTTGCTTTGGTCCGATTAAATTTGTACGAGTTTCCATGATCTCACGAAGATCGATCCATTGGCCATTAGCTACCATTTTACCGCTTGTGTTTAAGAGTCATATAACTTTTTCTTGGCATAGCTATAGCTTCGCCATTCAACATTGGCATACTTTAGAAAACAGCTTTTCTCATCCGGTCAGCTGCCAACCATTCACTCTTGATCAGCTGTCTTCAAAATCTTTTCTATCAATCACTCATACTATGGCTGAACGTCATTAGGAAATTGTTCCACGTTGTAGCGTTTTTCGTGAACTCCAAAACCCAGACGTGTTGAAGACGTAATACAGAAAAATCTGTGTTTTCTAGGAACATAGATGTACAGTAAATCACCCGAAATTTTATTTCAGTTTTCAAACTCTTAGCACGATTAATGTACATTATTGCAAATTCTCCAGTGATGAATAGATGAATAGATTCTCACGAAAACTTTGTCATTGAATGGCAATTTACAGAAAGTAACATGCTTTCTTGACCACTTGAGATCTACATAATGTCGATTCAAGCTTAGAAATTACTGTTGATTTTGAAAAAAGACAAAAGATTGGTAGGTCAATTTAAGTTGCTGTGCTTTTCGCAAGCCCCGCGCTTGAGCCTTCTCTCTTCACCGTTTCAGAATTCTATCACCTTGTTTTTCCTTCCACTGAAGATTTCTTGCAATTTCTATAAATTCTGTAGCAGGTGATTTTATTCCCTGCATGTTTTTGGTCCCACATTATATTTCTTTGGTGATTATCATCATATATCCACCGAAGCTTTTGGTTGTCAGACAGTTTTCGTTCACCGTGAACTGCTCAAATCAATTTAACTCTTGAGATTTAGCCTCCTTTCAATGTTACCTTGAGATTTTCTGGGATCTGTTTTCAGGACATCAAACAAAAAACTTGTATCTAGCTTTCGCAGCGAATATTTTCTGTTAGTCTTGAGCTCCTGGACCATCTCTAGAAAATCACTTAAGATTTTAGGAAGACACATAGGACTGACATGAGCTTATAATTGCTAATAAAAAAGACAAGAGTGACTTACTAGATTAGTTGGAGAGTGCATTTTTGGTAGGTCCAAACTTGGAAATTTATAAAGTTGGTCTCATGTATCAAGGTGTTTGTTATCTCATGGTTTTTCTTCGCTAAATATACTGTAATCGAGAGCTCGAATTTCCCCTCAGAAAGAGAACTGTACGGGGCGAGAGCTGATCCTCTCGACCACGAATGATCATGTGACTGACCCTCAGGCAATGGCTCAAATAAAGCCTAGCCATCAGTTCCCACATTAGATACGCTCTAAAGCACTAAAACTTGGCTGGACCCGACTTGAAAGAGATTTCATCTTGAATCGAAAGTAATTTTGACTGTGAGTTATTTCATGACCATGCAAAAAGATTGGAGTATTGGTTCTCCTCAGAGATTCCGATAGAAATATCATCATTTTATAGTACAAAGCCAGCTAACGCGTGGGAACATATATTCATGGTTCACTGTAACACATAAAACTTGAGAATAATTATGAAAGTGCTCTTAGGGATATTTTGTTGGTACTGTTAGGTTGATACATGGGTCATGCACCAACAATTTTGGAAAATTCATAATCTTTTTCAACCTCAATGAAATTTATAGCATTGATATACATTAAATAGAGAAAATCTTGCAATTCTCAAAAGTATCAAGTAAAATATGTTATTGTCCTATCGCAGTGATGCTGGTGGGAGAAAGCACCCTAAAAGTAGTTTCGTCATTTTTTGCTTGCTATAAATACTAAGACGTCTTCTGAATCCTCATTTTAATTTGTGATTTTATTGACAAACTTTTATATTTGTGAGAGAATCATGCTGTTACGACGTTTCTACAAATACTTACCATTCAACTCTTTGCAAGTCTTTATATTCATGATAAGAGACACGGACGGTAACTTTTGATAAGTGTTACAAAACATATGTGCTCTGAAAGAATTGTTACAACTATTAAACGATTTTATATTTTTCGGTGCAGAATATGTGTATCCATACATATAATGGAAAATTTCTAATGGTATATGATTTATGCCAAGCAACTGTCCCAAAAATTTCCAGCTCCAACGTTGTTCCACATTTCGCCACTTTGTCAAGGAGCGCCACGACGAGTCGTGTCATCAATCAGTCACCAAAAGCCTTTGGAGAGCGAACCACAGTTAGTTCTTCATATTCGTAATCTACGAATTTGGCTGATGTCGTTGAAAATAGAAAACGCTTATCTTGCACTCATAACACCGATCTGTACTACGCAATTTGTTGTGTTTATTGCAAAATGGGGTCACAATTTCTAGAAACCAGCTCTCAGCAGGAGATTTTCGCGCATCTCCTATCCGCGCTCCCGCTCTGCAACCGCCATTGAAACGACCTAGGATTAGTGTCATACTATGCCCTTCGATTCGATTAGCAACACTCCTCTATTCTTCTTCTCTTTCTTCCTCTTCTTCTGTTCTTCATCTTCGTGTATTTGTACACTGAGTCAATGCTCTATTCTATAGAAGACAAATTTCCAGAAATCATGCTATATCCTATGAGTTTTTCTAGAAAATATATTTCGGTCTCTTCTGCGGCTGCTAAAAACGCTGAGAAATAATTCAACTTTTTCTTTGTTAGGCAACTGCAAGAAAAATCTCGTTTTCTTTTGTTTGAAGAGACTCATAATGGCAAATTATTGTTATTCGCTGAGCTTGTGAGAAAACTTGTGTGCAAATTCCACATTTCTCGTTCATTCATCCATCACAACATAAGAGCTAAGCCTGGAAAGTCAAAGAACTGAGCTTTTAGAAACTGAGCCATGTTCGGGAATAATTACTCTTTACTGATAATAGCCGAAAATACCTTTATAAAAAAACAATAACAATTTTATTGGAGAATTTCATGCCAGAGCGTAATTATTTCTTAGCCAGCGTAATGCTACTTCAAATGAATTCTTTTCATAAGTAGATCAAATCTGGTATATAGCATTCTCCATTCATTTGAGATGCGATTATTTGCACTCTCAATGGACGAATCAGCGTTTTTAATCTTCTGCAATGTCATTCAAACTATTTTTCTTTTGACCTTGCAATTACAGTGTCTAAAAATGTGTGCAGTTGCACAACTTATATGCTTGCGTTGCTATTTTGACTCATATCTCTAACCTCTAACGGATGGAGTTTCTTACAAGGGAAGGTTACTTGGTGACCGTGGCCTTTTGAAATGAAACGTACACCATTAGATGTATCTTGGAGCGCTGATTCCAAATCTGCTTTCGGTATCTGCTGTGCGCACTTCCGAAAGAAATTATGAACGTTTCTTGCCACCAAAATTTGCATTGTTTTTGATGCGGGATTCACCAATATCGTTAGAATTTTCGCTTGCGCACTACAAAAGATCGTCTAAATAAAGTAAAGTTTTATGTTAAGCTCAAGAAAACTGTCTCCTTTATATCAGAGCCTAAAAAGACCGGATACTGACGATTATCACTGCCTAAATCTCGTAAAACCGATTTGGAGAAAAGTTCATAATTTCGTTCAGAGAATCGCACAGCAGATAATGAACATTGTTTTGAAATCAGCTTTTCAAGGCGCATCTACTGGTATACATCTCACTGCAAAAGGCCACGGTCACCAAGTATCCTTCCCTTGTTAGTCATGTCTTGCATTTATCAAACTAGATTGAAGGAAGAATTGTACGGCAGACCTGACAACTTTTATGCCATTTTGTTTTTTGTAAAATTTATATACATTTTTTGGATAAGAGGAGCTCGGCTGCAGATGGAAAGATGTTGTGTTATTGCACAAAAACCCTGAAAAATCTACTCGACCGTTTCGCTGTTTGACTGTTTCGCTTCTGGCTTTGAAATTCTGGAACACAAATTCACACTAGATGTTATTCCTTCCCATTGCTACTTCACAGAAAAGTTACTAAAACTTTTACTGCCTGTATCTCTTCGCCTCTCTTATACATATTTCTTCATTCACTTCTAAAACGAAAGTTCATCAGTATCTTTTTTGTACTGCTACACTAGAAATGTTCGCACTCGTAAAATTTTTTTAATAAACATATGCTAAGCTATTAACTTGCCGATCGAAATCCCGAACGATTTGAAAAGACTTTATGCTTGTAGCATAACTAGTTTAGTCGACTTGATCCGCTATGATCAGGTTATAGCATATCTACGTAGCAGATTTGTATGCATGCAAGCAAATGCGCTTATTTGTTTTAGTTTATAGCTCGATCTGCTCATTTTCTGTCCAAAAAGTAAGGAAAACCTGGTGACCTAACCATTTTGATGGCTAAACACATAAATGCGCCATAAAAGGCTAGTATCAGATCTGTTCCAGATATCTGTGACACGATTCCCTCCTTTATCTTTCGCAACCTGAGGTTTAAGGATTACACCACAATTGAACATTCCAATTTGTAATTGTTTGGCAGAAGTGCAAGACTCAAACATATAGAAAAATTGTAAAACTTAACAGATTTAGTTTACCGATGACCAGGTAAAACGTAAATGTTAATCATATCGGGTGGGATAAAAACGAAATCAATATAAAAAAAATGAAATATCAGACCGTTACGTACCAATGATCTTGGACATCTTTTACTTTGGAGTACTTTTTAAGCAGCTCCTAACTTGAGCAGATTATATTTGGCGACAAGTTGTAAAGGCGGTTGTAAAGAATTCGTTTCATCGCGCGTTTAATTGAAATCATCTTAACAAAAATGGGTCGGAAAGCATTTTTTAAAAAGATCTGTAGCACGAAGGCGATTTGCGCAAGACTATATAACTACTATGATTACCTGAAATGATACAACTTTACCACTAAACCCCATAAAATCTATTTAGAAAAGTGTTAGAAAGATAATGATCCTGGATTTGAAATGAGCGTTTTTCTAAAAGTTTCTAGAAATGCCTCATAAGTTATACTTCATAACCTGAACGTATCCTTTCCTGTTAGCTGTAAATCCCGTTCACACTAAGCCTGTTAACGTTCGGTTTAGGATTCAAGCGCGCGGTTCCTGCAAAGGAAAACCCAAACTGCTAACGAAGTTGATGTTCTTACATCCGTGGAAACACGTTTCTTCCTCATTATTATCACAGATACAGGTCTAGCGGTTAAACGAGGGAGGTGTGGCTCAAAACCGTCCTTATCCTGGTCTCTCTTATTCATGGCGTACATATTTCTTTGGCGTTCCACCCCAATCCAGATACGTTTTGAATGTCATAGTCTGCGGTAGGAGTAGATCAATGATCTGCATTCTAACACTGATTAATGCCTTTTTCTGTTTACTGCATGCTTACTATATTTCTAGATGTTTTTTGCTCCACTCGTGCTCTTGATCTTTTCATTTTGATTTTACTTGTAAGGCAAATTTTATTTACAGATGCGGCGTGCAACGTCCAATATATCATTCTTGCAGATGAACAAAGAGGATCATGACAGGGAAAGGATGAGGTGGTTGCTGAGGCTGGAGGAAATCGAAACACGATTAGCTGACTCAGAAACCCTTAATTCAGACATGCATCAGATTAGAGCCGAACTTGTCAGTAACCATCGATTATGATTTTTCCCCCAAGATTGGCTAAAAAGTGTAAAAATCGGTTTCAGAACAAGAAAATCGTGGAACTGGAAAAAACACAGCGTCCATTGATCGAACAGAATCGAAAAATTAATGACCGGAACAAAATATTACAACAAGAAGTGAAAAAATTGGAACAAAAGCTTTGCCATAGCCAGGACGACTTTCTCACTCTTGTACGAAGGTTTTCTTTTAGATGTTCATTTTGAGAATGAATGTGCACTATTACTTTTAGAAAGATGCACATGAGCGACTAGTAAAAGAACATACTCAACTGAAAGAGAAAAGAGCATATCCGGAGAAATTGGAAGAGCTCGAGAGATATCGGGCACAGGTCTTAGAATATTCTAAATGTATAACCGCACTAAGGAGTTCAGGTTTGGTGAGTTGCTGCGATTTCTCATCAATCTTTTTTATCTATTAGACAATACTAACGATAAGTCTAGTACCAAAAATTTCGTAAATTAGTACAAATTCCCCTGCAACTTGCTTGTTTCGATATTTTTCATATAAAGAAAAGTATGTGCATTTAGCTAGGGCTGGAGCAAAAAGATCATTGGTGGCGGAAAAAGAGATTTGTAAATAGTATTTTTTCAAAATCCGGTGAATTAAATGGCAAGATAGACTGATGATATCTAAATTATTTCGGAGTTTGCATTTTTAATCTACCCGTATTGGTCAACAAAGAGAGAGTTGAAGAAACTGGAAGGGAAACTCTGATGTTTGAAGTTTATACAAACAATTAGGCTTTTCGAATTTTGAGTTGAGTTTTTTGGTTTTGCTTCAGGTTTAATCTCGAGCCTGTTTCATAGACAACTACATTTATTGTACATAACGATAAAGAAACTAGTTTAACCTATAAGCATTTCAGAACACTCCCTAATTTCAATATTTTCTTGGTCGTACAGGTTGTTATCGGTGATTTGTTGCCTAATCTTTGAATAACTAAATATAAAAGAAAGTAAATCAAATCCAGATAAATTGTCACCGAGAACATCGTGTACGAAAAAATAATGGAACTATGTACCAGGCCAGCTAACAAGACAAAAGGACATATTGTAAATTTTTGCCTGTTTTTGTAGACAAGGCTTATCTATCAACCTGAATCTAACTCCTGCTCACAAGTATCAATGGGCTAAGATTCGTTCGAAAGCTAGTCACGTCCTTCACGCATCATCTGACACTGAGGAAACTTTTACGGGACAATGTGTTGATGCAACAGTGAATGTGCATTCATGGATGTAACTCTGTGTGTGTTTGAGGAGAAAGATCGACGTTACGAGCTACTGGTACAAAAGTTCAAACGGCTACGGCGATGTATAAAAAAAGGCGATACGGAGGAGGATCGACAGAGGTACGATTTTATGACCAAGCGCGGAAAGGGGGCACACGCGATAGAATTCCATTGCTCCAGAAATGTCTAGAATTTTCACGTTAAAATTGTTGTATCCTTTTGCTGTAAGCGTCCGTTACTACGAGGTTTGCTCAAGACTTTGTTTGCACCATCAGAAATTCATAACTTATTACTTCCTCAAGGAATTGCACAATTTTAGCTTTTTTCTGGAAGAGGAGAACATGCGCTTCAAAAAATAGCATTTGATAGACTCTTCAGCAGCAAATACTGCAAACGTAAAAGCTGTAAAAGTTTTTCTAAATTCATGAATATTCTTGCTGTTATTACGAATTACATCGTCTGTTCTTTCCATATGGGAAGATTTCACGTCGATTAAGCATTTCTATCAAGTGCTAATTTTCGAGAGAAATGCCAAAAAGATAAAATTTGCCGCCTTGTACTGCTTGTTCTAATCATGATTTTTTCTAAAAAAAATCTCACTCCGTTTTTGCTTGAATGGAAGGAGCAGATTATAAAACTTGAAACAAACTTTTGAGAATATAGTTTAGGATTCAGATTTCTTGGTAGCCCTACACACAAAAATCAAAATTGGGATTATTTTTTATAGCTTCAGTATCTGTAATGTTTGCGAATTAGAGAAGTCTTTCAAGTGCTATTGTAAAACGCATGACTTTCTCTTTTAGATGAAGCTAAAGTTATGCAAATTCTTTTGGTGATTGAGAAGTGTGAATTATTAAAAATGGTGCAAAAATAGTCCGGGTCAAAGGAATGTTATATGATTCCTGGGAATCCTATCATTCTTCTGGTTTGTGTGGTTTTTGCCACTTTGTTATCCACGGTGCGCAAAAATTTCTATCTTCATAGTACAGGTCTAATAATGTTACAATGTAATAATCTTACAACTACTCTCTCATTTTGCTCTCTACTTCAACGTAAATAATGACTTGCTGGCTGACTGAAAGGAAATGCGCAAAATGATCTTCACTGCTGTAATTGGAGTCATCATCATTGGGTAGATGTGAGTTTCTGCGCTCCATGGATAACGAACAGTTAAAGTATCGCAGTGATCACAGCGATCGCGGGATTTACAGGGATGGTATGAAAAAACTCCAATTCTTGCATTTAAAATGGGTTTATAGGATCTAACGAATTTGGCTAACAATCACTTTGAGGGAAAAATTGTATGCTATTTTCAGCACCGTCGGCAGCGACTGTTCAGCCGAAAGTTCCATAAGTCTCGACACTATTGCCGAAGATTTTGAGGTGAAATCTGGTTCATATCATCTATCCCAAGTACATCTAATAATCTCAAACTACTTTTCACACTCTCTCGCTCACGTTAGATTGATCGCCAACGCCTCCTTTATGTGAAGGTGACCTTGATAGGCATTAACACCGTGAGAGAGCCAACTTGGTCGATCCTTCTTAACTGTACCTGCTCCAATTTTTCACACGGAGTCTCCGGTATACATTATCAGGGTTCTAATAAATTCATTCGTTAGACCCCCCCCCCACCAGGTTAAACTGTAAGTTGATAGAGTATGTCTCACAAATTTGCAATCGAAGTGCAGCTCCCACTCTCATTATAATATTGTGTTGAAACAGAATTTTTTAATTAAATTTATATGTACTCACATATCAGGCTAAAACATAAGTCTTGCATTTATAATTTTTCAATACCTCTAGTCAATCCTAAATACAATGAATTTAATTGGTAACATATAACCTAGGAATATTAAACCATGCATTTTATAGCTGCCCAAATAAAAATAGTTGTTATCACCTCGCGGCTAACAAGCTGATGAAAAACCACTCAGTTTTTATTTTTTCACTTTCTATCACTAAAAATGCTAAAAAGGCCAGCGCATTCTGATTCCATTTCGTTATTGCGTTTATTTTATTATTGTTTCTATTCAAAACCGATTCGTGATGATCCGAGGTCTACAGAAAAATAGTAATTTCCGCATTTTTTTAGTTTTGATTTTGTTGAGAACTAACAAGGAAACCGTGTCGAGTCGAAGTGGCCTTTCCAGATGAGACCCGTACTGCTTTGAAGGGTATTAGGCGGCGACAAATCTGCCTTCCAAATCTGCCAAGCGCCTCTGGACGCCGAATTATGACCGTTCTTCGAAACGAAAAATGAATGAGAATTTAGGTAAAATTGATTGTTACAATCTTTCCAGCGCTCAGATAAAGCAAGGTTAAGTATTAGCATATTGAATAAAATGTATCCATTGCATAACAGCTCTGATACTTGACACTGGAACACTTGAGCAAATTTGGGCGATTTTGCTTCAGTTTTGCGTTCAACTTTTTGACCTGAAAAACGAGCATAACTCGGCGTCCAGAGGCGCTTGGCAGATTTGGAAAGCAGATTTGGAATCACCGATTAATGCTCTTCAAAGCAGTATGGGTCTCATCTGGAAAGGCCACTTCGACTCGACACGGTTCCCTAGCTTCTAATATAATAAAATATTGCATTTGTTTTGTACAATGAAAAATATCATATATTCAGGGATTATTGCTGCGGAAATTATCCTCTCTCTGATAACTGCAAAAAATGAAGTGTTATTTTTTTTTGAAAATTTTTCCAGAAAAAACCCATTTACACTTCATAGATGTGAAAAAGATTTGGCGCTTTAACATATGTTTTCAAATGATCAGTACAAGGATTCATCAGCTTGATTTGAATCGGCCTTGATTTTTTGTATGAATTTCACATTTCTAAATTTCATGGAGAGCATAGAGAAAGCAAAACGAGAGAGAAAAAACAAATGAAAATTCTTAAGGCCATCTCCAGGCTATGCGTCATAATTACCAAGGAGACGAGGTGACACAAAAATTTTAGTGCTTCCTATTCCTTCCTTAAAATTTAATTGAGATAAGCCTTACAAATCCTTCTACAAGAAAATGTCCTCCTTGGACCTTCTACAAGAAAATGTTCATGTTTATCAGTCGAGACTAGTACAGTCAAAGTAGAACTCCATTTTTGTGACACTATCTCTATCTTGACGGGAGCAGCTCATCTCATCTTCATTGTGATTTTAAAGTTCACTTTAACATACATATAGTTAAGCGCTTAGCGCTTAGCGCTTAAATCGAAGAACAGTGATCACAGTACATCTTGTATATATTTATTATATAATGATGCATGAACGCTTTTCGCTAACGAGGTCAGCTGAATATCAATGCGAAATCGTTCATCTTTGATTGCAACGCCAATTTATCCCTTTCTCTCTCTCAAACGCTGGCAAGAGTTTCAGAAAGCGTATTTGATAGAAATTTCCATAGATTCAATTAGATTCATTGTGACAAAAATATGCATGGTTCAAAACTATCACCTGTTATTGCTTCTCCTCCTTCATGTCCCTTCATGCTGAATAATTTTCCAGACCTTCAACGCCGACATCGAAATCAACTATCAGGCGCTTTATCGCGAAAACGCCGAGCTTCAGAAAGCACTACAGGTTGATGCCCTCAATGATTTTGGTTGTTTTCATGGAAATAATAACGTTTAGGCTCTGAAGGTGAATCCTGGAGGTTTGGAAGAAAGTCTGCTACGGGATCAACTAACTTGTGCCCATACAACAATTGCTCAACAACAGATACTCATCAACAATAACGAAGAAATGGTGGGATATTCTGCGGCTTCTTTCGCTTGTTTATTTAATTTTATTTATCTATAAGCGCTCAAGGGCAATCACATTGAAGTCTGGTATACAACAAACAAAAAAAAAGAAAACAATCAGGTTCATGTAAAATTCTTGCACCAAGATTTTTGAAATTCCGTTACTTTCTGCTTGAGTGAAATCTTTCAATTTAATGCAATTAGAAAAAAATCTTGCGCTTTACGTCTGTACTGGTATAAGGCTTTTTTGTTGTAATATAGCAACGATACAAGCTGATTGAGAGAAATACTCAAGAACTTATTCTTTGATTTTGGTTGCCATAATTGCTGAAACGTCTATTGGATTCTATTTATTCTTGATCTTAGTTTTCTGCTCTACTTTTTTTTTGAGGGAAGTTGGTGATCATTGGATGCCTTTTCGAATAGTGTTATGGATTCCGATTTTTTGATACCACATATTATCTGTTTCAGATCTAAAAACTGCAAATTGCTAACTTCGGTGTACATAACAAAGAGCATACTGCGTAAATTGAATAGTTTGCTTTAACATTTTTTAAACGGATTTTTTGATTTATGGTGCAAAATTGTGCATCAACCCAATAGTAAAAGTAAATGTTAGTATTCCAGGAAAAAACTAGTGAAAAAATAGATGAAAACTAATGAATTTTCTGTCTGTAGAGTGGTATTGTTATGATCAGTCAGGTCTCATGTCGCCAAAGTCTGATTCGCTTCCGAATAGCAAAGTTTTTCTAGATTTCACAAATGGGCCAACTGAAAACCGTCGTGGCCTCGCAAGCCGAACGCATAAAACAACTGGAACAACAGATTGAAGAAATGGACAGAGAGTTGTGCGCATCGCGTGAAGCTCATGATCTACTCGAATTCCAAGTTTTGGAAAAGGAAGAGGATAGCAAATGTCTGGTAAGAGTCTTGGACACGCTTGCCTCATTGCATTCATTAAAATTTTTAGTCATAATTAGTTTGCCGAAAAGTGACACGAAATTCATTCAGAATTTTGATGCAAAACTGCGACATTTTTGAAACAATTTTTCCGTGACGTTCTTCCTGCCTATTGAGAAAAATTAGGAATTATGTCATACTTTTCCTAAATGAAAAAAGTCAAATAGCATTTACGTTTTCATATTTAACAAGTTTTTCTATGACTAGGCAGCGTGTTGACGTTCTAATAGTAAATTTGCGAAATTTTAAATCTCAGATATTCTTGGATCTGATGGTGATAGCAAAATTGATCGCGCGGATTAGGAAACTAAAAATTCGATCGTATATCACCTCAAAAGCTTTTAAAAAGATTGATCAACATATTGGTAATTATTTGCCCCAAAAGTTATTGGAGATTTTGAAAAGTTCCCATGAGTGGGCCTATATAACTCGTATAAAACGTCTTTTTTAAACTTTTGTTTACAGCAGTCTGGACAAATTCAGCACCATCACTTCTTAGTAGTGTTATTTGGATGCGATACCATTATTTCCTTTATTATTCTATCTCTTCTCTGACTGGATGACGTATGCCAAAAGTTTGATTTTTGTCTTCAAATTCTTGCCTTGATTCGATCTGTTTGACAAGCAACATTGGGAGTGTTTTCAAAAAAAGCTGGATATAATGTTTCACTCCATCTAGTTTTTCCTTACCCAATTATTCGGCTCATTCTTAATTTGCAGACATGTATCAAATCAAATTCTTGGACTGTACTCTCAAAAGTGGGTTAGATTTCTATTTTTGGCCGGTTCATTGAGTCACGCTGCATTATGGACTCAGATTTTCGATTTTAAAAACTGTGACGATCCTTAACAATTAATTCTATGCTGAAACAAAGGCTACAGATAAATGGTTGGATCTCCTTCGAATTACCATAATTTATTCAGCCAACGCCGCCAGAACGACTTGACAAATGCAACGGAACAGAAGAAACGGCCGCGGAGCGATGCGACAAATGTGCGACAACGGACGATTTGGCCGAAAGCAGCTCTGTTTATAGACACGAGAAGAGAGCGCTGGTACGATTTCTCTGAAATTTCCTATAATATATTCAAATAACTTTGTTTAAGTCACCCACGGAAGTAATAAGCCTGAAGAAAAGCATGGGCGAACTGCGTGACGCTTTAAACCTAAAATTATCACAATGTGCAGTTGTTGGCCATGCCGAAGACTACATTGGAGAGCTGGAAGATGTAGGAAATTTATACCCACGATCAAAATTTCCGCCGATTCATCTCGAAAATTCTTTAGCAACTTGCATCCACAAACCAAGCCCATAAAGAGCTGGCCGAGCAGTTCGAAGCACGAGTCAAGGAATTACAGGTATAGACTTACGTTAACGTATTCATAAATAATGAAATGCTCCTTGATGTGATTTAGACTCAAATCGAAGTCTCATACTCAAAGCAAAAACGCAAGAAGGAGTTGCAGATTGAGGTAGAGGAGCTGAGAAAGAAGTTAGCTGAAGTTGATGCTGTTAAAGAAGAGGTGAGTCGTTTCCTTGCCATTTTAGGATGTAGCTCTTGGATTTCTTGAAACTTGTCTCAATATGCAGTAGCTTGTAATTTTTACAGGCTTCAGAACGCGATTGTTTAGTATATAAAGGCTGCATGACGAAGGCGCAATGGCGATATTAGTTGAGCGGGCGCGAACGCGTTGCGCGCGTATCCTCACCGTTGTAGATCCCGCACCTCATGCGCTCTGCGGCTATTAAAGCCGCGTTCGCGCCCCAAGATATTGCGCCGTCGTCATGCAGCAGCCTATAATATAGAGGCTTGAAGGGGACTTGTAAATTTGAATTTTCAAATAGAAGGTTTTAGAATGGATGACTTGAAGTAAAAAATAAAAACAGCTTTTTTCCTGGCTCACCTTTAGCGAGATATACGTAGTATGTTTTTCTAGAAAACCTGTATCTTTTTTGACAATGATTTTCTGTTCTAACGAAGCGTAACCCATTCTCAAAATTCCAATTTAAAAAATCCATTAATTATCTGAACTTTGAGATGTGTGCTCAAGACAACCCAATCGCCTTTTTGTCGTCCTGACTTTACGTTGTAGACAAACCACTCGTTCAGTAAAGCATTACATTTTGAAACTCGCGCGCTTGTCATCGAACGTTGGAGCACATCAGTTGTGCTGTTCGTGACGTAACGAGCACATCAAGGAAATAGCTATAGCATGTAAAGCAGATTTTACGATATTCCCTTTGCTTTTTGTCAAGACCGAGACCGTTTGCCCCCAAAACTTCTTTGCCAATCCTGATTTCACACAGCCACCAACACCTGTCCTTTGATCAATGCTACTCGCTTGCCTTGCTTGCTTTGCTCTATGTTTCGTAGGCGCTTATTCAGTAGTATTCTTTGAATTCATTCGATCTCACTTTCGTAATGTAAGTAAGCTGTATCTTTTTTAGTTTTTTCTTGCACAGGAAAAATAGGCCACAGGAAGAATATAGAAAAAAAATCTAAATAGGCTGTACAATTTAAGCAATGTAGCCCAGTTCATGGCTTAGCTACTTTTTGCTTGTCTTGAAATTTTTAAACAATTTTGAGTTCACAGGAGCCCACCTGTTTTTGCTCTTGAAACCAAATTTCACAGGGTTCTGCATAGCGCTTGACTTCTTCTTTTAGTCTGAAATCCATTCCTTTCCCTTTTAAAAAAATTTTAACAAAAAAATTAAAAAAGAGAAAAGAATCCATGTAGAGAATCTTACGACATAGTCCTTTGCCATGAAAGGAATCAAAAGTAATTTAGACTAAAAACCAAATCATAAGACACAATCCCAGCAGAAAATATATAGATGATGTTTTTGATAGTCTTGCTTCCATACATTCTGCATTCATAAAAAAGGAACTGCGAAATCTACTGACAGTTTTGGAGAACCCGACTAAGCACTACCCATAATATATCAAAGAAAAATTGAAGGAAGAAACTGTAGGAGACTAAGAAACTCAGAAAATCGAAATAACACTTTCAGCTAACTGAAGAGATGCGAACGACATCAAAGGAGCTTACGAAGGTGAAGTGCCAACTGCAATCAAAGGAAAACGAACTCGAACGAGAACGAAAGCTCGCTGAGGGGCTGAATGAGTAAGTTCCCTCTACGAACAATAAACATATTATTCATAGCTACCATGCAAAATCTGTTTAATTATCAAAACTAGTAATGTTAAGGCAGCTACAACGTTTGACGGAAAGTCATCATGCTGAAAAGGATACAGCACGACAGACGGAAGAAGAGCTGAAGAAGACGAAGGAGTTGTATGAATCAAGTCAAGTGGCTCTAGAACAGTTAATGGAAGAGAAAAATCAGGTAATAATTTGTAAAAATGTGTGAAAAAATCTGAACGGAAGTGTAAAATGAAGTAATGAAATTTGGCTATATTCACAATTTCCTACATAATTTTTTTCTCATTCAGCCCAGTTTGTGCGAGTAAATTGTAACATAAAATGTTCATATTACAAAAACGTATTTATACAGCACTTATCTTACGTTTTTGGTCATTTCTAGAGAGAAAAGAAAGAGAATAACGAGGTGCTCATAAAACTGAAATGTTCTTTTCAGCTTTGCGAGAAGTTGGATCAGTTGAATTCAGAATACGAGAAATTGAAAGAAGATCAACGCCCATCAATCAGGTACCATCATAGTCGTATAATAAGAATATTGAAGGCCATTTAGCACCATCAAATTTTGTTACTATTTGGTTTGGTTTAATTTTACCAAAATTTTACTCTCTTAGAACCGAGCTAGAGCGGAGATACGAAGAACTGCGCTACAGGCTCAACACCGCTTTGGATAAAATCCACGATTACGAGGTCTGAGCCAAATAACAAGTCCTTTATAAGTCAAACAAAAGCTTAAGGGGAAATCTGTAGTAATTATTCTGTACAATGTTTCAGCTTGTGCTCGAATCGGCCAAAAAAGGCGAAGACACATCGTTTACAGAAAGTCTTCAGCAAGATCTGGTTCAGGTATGTTTTGAGCCAGACCTTTGGGAGATATTCTATAGATTACAATTTAATTTATTTGATCATTCGAAGTATTTTATTTATCTACCTACTTATCGATTTACAATCTCACACTCGCAACTATGCTGTATCAAATCACTTGCTTTGCAGCTGAAGGAGTATAACGCACATCTAGAGCGCCAATTCCAAACTCAAACTGAAATCATCGAAGCGCTAAAGCAGAAACTCATTGAGGTTAGTAAGGATACTGGCAAGGAGGAACTTCTTTTGAGTCAACAACTTTCTTTACAGCAAAAATCATTTGCCGATCTCATTCATAAGCTCTCTGAGCAAGAAGATGTTGAACTGATAGAAGATGCGTTGAGCGACTACATTAAATCCGTAGATCGAGAAACAGGAAGGCTGGCGGAGAGCATTGCCTATATAATTAAGGTAATTTTGAGATCTTAGGCAACGTTTGAAACTGCCTCTAAGTCGCAGCCGTGCCAGCGCCGTTCCAGTGCCGTGTCAGCACCTTGCTGGCACCATACCGGATTCCACTTGGCACAGCACGGCGCTGACAAGGGCAACTCTGGATGCGTCCTCAAATGCTATAAGGAGATGTTCTTTACGAACTATTATTTACCATAAAATTTTTACAGACTGCCTCTAAAATCAGAATGGTTTCCCCAATTGCTCCCTTGGAAATCAGCACAACGCATCACAAGGTATTTTGAAACTTCCTTCCCTCCATGATTAGTTTAACTACTTTCCTTCTTTTTTTATCAGATCTACGACGCCACCTTATATTATACAGTGGGTTCAACAAAAAATCTTAAATTTAGAAGCACCCAGTGTCATCTTTGCAAAATCGGCACTTTCATCCTTTGTCTTACCTCTTTGTTTCACCACCCCTCAGTCCAGTCCCATCACTAATATCACATGTTGAAAACAATGTCTGATTATTTTCGGTGATGAATCTAAAACGTTTTCGGCATAGATGGCAATCTCTATTTAGATATGCCCGTATAATTCCGTGGACTCGTCCGGAAAGTGGCTTTCGAACAGCAGTGAGGACATCTCACCAGATAGCGAAGGCAATGATTGGAGTGTGAAGAGGAAAACATTGAAAGGTACATCAGTTGACCTTTGATTCAAATGGATTGGCGGCTGGAAAGTGCGGCTTTGTGACATAATCAAGGCCGCTCGCGCCCACGAATAGGAATAGACCAGAAATGAATTTTTTGCACCCCATCACACTTCATGTGGACCACAATAATGTCTTTTTTGAATGAATCACCCAAAGGCTGCTGCAAGACGAAGGCGCAGAAGCAGTATTAGTTGAGCGGGCGCGGACGCGGCGCGCGTATATTTATCGTTGTAATCAACTCATGCGCTCTGCGGCTACTGAAACCGCGTTTGCATCCGAAGATATTGCGCCTTCGTCAGGCAGCAGCCCTTATTAATAATACAGGGTGTCCCAAAAAAATGTTAACACTGTTTGATCGCTAATAACTCCCTTGCTTTCAAGTCTTTCACCGAGCTTTAGGTACCATTTTGTAGAGCGAGGATAAACTTAGATTTACAGTATGGGGCGAATCACCAATCACTCTTCGTTACTGTAGAATTACGGTAGAAATTTTGACAAGGATTTTAGGCCTCAAAGGCCATTTTCTGCTTCGAGACAGAGCCAAACAAGCCAAAATCTCTTGTACTATGGTAATGAAAGCCGCTTATTTCAAATATGAAGTTTCCATTTTATCGTAAAAAATTGTGTAGTAAAATCAGTGCGCGCGAAAACCCTGGTACTCGATTTTTCAGATTTTTTGAAAAATTTTTTGTCAGAGGGCATATTTCACGACGCTTCCACATGCTGAAATTTCCTACCGTAATCCTACCGTAACGAAGAGCAAACGGTGATTCGCTCCATACTGCAAATCTAAGTTGAACCTCGCTCTACAGAATGGTGCCTCAAGCTCGCCGAAAGACATGAAATCAAGCGAGTTATTAACGATCAAACAGTGTTAACATTTTTTTTGGGACACCCTGTATATCCGTCGTGCTAGAATCAGCTCCTGCGTATGTCGCGATTTTCTATCGGAAATTGTATTTACTCACTTTACTTGATAAAGCGAGCTGTTTTTCATGTAAACATTACAAGAATTTTTCAGAGGTCCAATGTGGTGCCGATGGTTTGGAGCCGCGCAGCGCCTCAACGAAAAACGCATGATTAAACCTGTTAATTGCATAACTGCTCTGTATAAAGTTGAAAGACGAATTAAAAAAAGAGAATGTTTATCATTTTTTTTTGAAGAACGTTGTACTCAACAGCCACCGCTCAAATAAAAGTCCCTTCTTGATCAGTGCTACAAACTGCAACTCCTTCACTAGTGGCTCTTTGCTTTCATTTCTAGAGCTCGCTCATTGTATGCTACAAAGCCCTCGTTCCGTTGCCTTATTCTGTATAAGTCTGTTCATTTTGCAGCAATTTACGATACCGGTTCAACAAGTACGTTACTTAGCATATATATTCGTATTTTCGTTCTGTAATCGAATGTTTTACAATGAGTTTCTGTGCAATATATGTCATTATTTCAACATTAAAACCTGTTTGATGCGTTGTGTCATGTACTACACGTGAGAATTTTTTATGTGCCTTCAAAGTTTATTCTTTTGGCAGAGAAAACTGGAAGAGTATTTCGAATGCGTTGTTATCCTTACTTGTCTCACAAATCCCGTCCTCCTGCAAAAACATTCGAGATTTGGCCAAAGACAGCGTCTAAATTTCGTCCAGATAATCTTGAAGTTTGAATATGTGGTTTACAAGTAAGACTGTTGAAAGAGCATCCAGTCGTGTTGGTCCAGTAGAAAGACGTCTCTATATATGTATGTTAGTTATCTGCTGAATAGTTGTCAACTAAAACTAAAGCAGGCCGATCGTTAACGCACGATTTCTTAGTTCAAATTTCAAATGGCCATGCTCTAAAGCAAAGGGTGTACTCCAGTCCAAACTCAAAATTATCCACCAAGTGACTACTGTTGATGAGGACGAACATATCTGCAATCCGGGTGAATCCAATAGTCCAGCTCCTTTAGACGCGCCCGAAGAGATCTTCATCGCACAGGACTGACGAATTTTCTTAGAAGAAGCATGATCAGGCACATACACTTCCCTCAAAAGTATATAGAATCACACTAATCCATTAAAATACAAGAAGTCACAATCACAAGGACGAAGGGATAAAATTTGCAGTTCCACCCAGAGTGAGAGCGGCTTTGAAGCGAGAAACAATTCCTCACGAATGGCGAGAAATGCATTTACGCCTTCCTAAACTTTCGAATAAACTTCTTACCGCAAGCTTCCGAACCCCTTTTCAACTATAAAAAGTAGATTACTCCGGCTCTCTAGAAATAAAGACAATTTCCTCCCATGATTTTATAAGCCTCAGTACCACTCAAAGTGAGTCGATTAATCTCATCCGATAGAACTCGTGACGTTGTATGCAGCTTGTTTCGAGATTTGTAGAATTCATGAAACGTGAGATTCTGCAAGTGATGCTCGAGCTTTCTAGGATCAGTCAAACAGGAAAGACATCTTCTGAAAATAATTTCGAGTAAACGAAAAGGTGTTTATTAAAATGTGAATTTGCATTTTATCATACGACTGGTTATTTGTATTTGCCGAAAATCTGCCATTGATTGCATAAACCTTACTGTCAGACTTAGTCAGTAACTTCAAAAAATTGCTTTGGAATTTTTGCAACAACCAACATGTTGGTGAGAATATTTGAAGCTATTCGAAACGCAAAATAAAATAAATGCCGACTCTATCGCTAGAGTGATTTGGAGGCTAGCGTCCAGTTCTACTGTGGGCACTGCTCTAACGCCAAAGTATTTTTGCTGGTTCTAGACGTGATAGTTTCTTCACCCTTTGTGAATTTCGCTCTTATTCGCACTTTCTCAACACTCTTATACATACTTAGAATAGCATCAAACAAATGCATCAAATAAGTTGGTGATTGATACTGCGGCCCTTCAGCACCTCCAGACAAGCAAGCAGGCAAGGATTGAAGGTGTAATCATGATCGTAACCACATTTTCTCAGACATTCGTCGAAGTCCAACCAGGTATCCTCGTGCGACGATGAGCTGAGCCCGATGAGCTTTAAACGTATTTACAATTGATGTTGTGATAATGAAGGTACAACAGAAATTCAAACCTTGCCGCGAACGCTTGCCAAAGCACAAGCGAGCAGTACGATTTTGATTATGCCAAACATTCTTGTAAAATGAGAAGCAGAAAGTTGTTTGCGGGCGAGGTTTTCACATACCTTTTATACCATCTACGTTGAATGTTTTGGCATTCTTAGTCATGTTTCATGCTTATGAAGTGCTTACCAGAAACCCAAATAAAAATTTGACATTCCCCATAAACACTTCACTAAGTGAGTAATGCCAGCCAAATGTAAACTTTGATGAATAGAATTTTCTTAAGTAACGGCAGCCATGAATTCCTTTCGGAGAAAGTCAAATGTTTATAGCGATTTTTTTTGCGAATCCTTCCTGTGGACTGTTTCATTTCCTTCGATATCGGTGTAAGTGGCGGAAATGAGCCACCTGCTACCTGGTTCTACCACACGACAGATTACTAGATTAGGTTGGTGCAAAAGTTCGTGCATTATTCGATAACTTTCCAGTCTTAAAAGAAAATTCATGATTTTGATTGAAAACAATAGTAGTTTTTGCGCTCTATGGTCTCATTTAAGCTTGTAATTATGTGGGTTAACTACTGAGAACGAGGCTTTCAAATATGGCTTTTCGAATTTTGCGGAATTGTAGTTCCAGATTCGTTCGAAGATCCTCTAGCTGGCCCGAAAAAATCTGTAAAAATTTTTTACATAGCAGTAGCCCAAACTTCACTTCGGCAGACATTAATCTTGCACGAAACTGCAGAAACGAAAAATTCGGGAAAAATGTCATTCTATAGAAAAATTTCCCCTATGTATTGCAAGTCACCAGCAAACCCAATACTTGACGCTCGAAAAAATATCACATTTTAAATAAGCACTAAGTCAATTCTGTGTTTTTGATCTGTGTTTTTGTGAAGTAACTGCAACAAGAAGATTTTTCCTTCAGCATTACATTTTTCACGGGTTTTTTTTGTTCTTGCGTTTCTTTGCAAGATCAAAGCACGCCAAATAAGGCGTGGACCAGCGCCGTGAAAGAAACCTTTAGCCATTTTTTTGCCTTTTTTGAAAGCTTCGTTCCGTGGCTAACCCATATAAATGCAAGCCTAAACAACTACTACAATAGAGTGCAAAAACTTCATTATTTCTAAGATCAAAAACGTGCGTTTTAGTTTAGGATTTTGAACGCTGTCGAATTTTGTTTGAGTTACGCAGTAACATTTGCATCAACATTACCAGTTGAAATAGAGCTCCGTTTTATTCTTGAAAGAGTTTCCAAATTAGATTTGACACCTGCAACAAAGTCGACTAGATCAAAGAATTCATTCTGTGAAATGCCTATAATTTGTTTCTTTGTTGTTTTCAGGTACATTAGTCATCGTAGACGTTTGATTTCGATAAGAAAATGCTGTTATAAAAATCCAATCACAATATGGAAAGCCTTTACATCTAAATTAGCTTTCAGCTATTGATGACGTCCTTTTTCTCTCGCATTTGCTTCCGAGTGAAAACATTTTTTCCAATTGCTTTGGTGTTTATATTGAAGCCTAAAAAATCCCACTAATTTGATGATAAACTAGTGCATTGTGTTTGTTCTACAAATGTTGTGATAGAGGTTCATTACGCCACTTTCATGCTTTTCGCGCATATTCAAAACGATGGTTTTTTTTCAAATCACAGGTCAACAAAATGAATAATTCCATTAACTCGAATTGTCTACATCAATTCCTTATTTCCTCTTTGGGCCATAGCGAAGCCTGTAAGAAGCCATCAGCTTGCTTCCCGCATTGTTGGAGCTAATCTAGCCAAAAAATCGTATTGACTGTAGCACTCATTTCGGTAGTAGGTACTGAAGTTTTCCAAAACAATTCGAAAATTCTCATACAGTGAAGTCAGGTAGTACAAAACGTGTGTTTTGCAGTTACGAAAGCCTTCAAAACAAAATATTCCAAGAGATCCAGCTATAGAGGTTGCAAGTTCTGCTTCACTATTAAAGATTTGTACATATAATGTTTCTTGCTTGAATATGCAGGGATCCCAAAAGCTGGCTTCAATTTAGATTCAAAGTATAGCGCGGATCATCGATCACTCTTCCTTACTGTAGGATTACGGTAGAAACCCAAAGCATATGGTGTCTGGTGAAAAAAGCTGCCTCTTCAAAAGTGTTCACAAAATGCGAAAATATTTGTAATAGGGTTTTCATGGGCGTTGAGTTCAATACTCAACTAAAGTGTCGTACATAATTATACGAACATCCCAAATTTTGGAACTTCCTGGACTTTTTGGGAGAAACTCAAAAAGCCGTTGATTCACGCGATAGAGCACAGCCGAAAATGGTATACGATCCATGAGAATGGAAAATGATGTCAATCTTAGAAGTGTTTTTGCGCCAAATGCGAATCTTTAGCGGTTTATAATTATACGAACACCTCAAACAAAGGTCCATTTTCCATTCAAGTTTGCAATCATTTGAGTGCAAATTTTTTGTAGAGTTACAGTAACAAAGTGTGACATATCTGCTACAACTGAGCCCAGTGCTGTTCAGAAAGAGGACCGTTACTTTTTTCAGAAGGCTGTAAATGCTTTTGGATTGCGCTCCAAGAACATCCGTTCTTCTGTGGTTTACGCGCTCTAATCAGCTTCTACCAAAGCTATGAGACAAAATAAGCTCTTTCGATAGGTATTTGGTTCGACGCTTGGAGAGTCCTTGCGTTTTCGTGCCGTTTTTCAATCAAGTTCAACCTTACCTTAGAGTTAGCACGAATTCAAGCCTCAAAACTCATCTTCTCTCTTGCGCAAACATTTGATATAAAGCAGCTGCATTGCTTGCATGATAATGTTTCTGTGCCAAAGTTTTTGGGTTTTTTGTAGAACTGATCTTGAGGTTGTGGAGCTACAAACCAAATAAAGGTGTGATTGCAATAGTAAAAACAGTGTTTTTGGTGAAATGACGTCTGCGTGGCATAAACAGACGCTCAACGCTGCCGATTTTTTTCTGGCCGAATGTACAGTCTTGTGAAATTCTACATACTATATGCTTACTTCATTGTACGGCTTCGGAAGCTGAGGTTTGAGGCTCGAAATCGTGCTAACTCTGTGGTAAGGTTGGAACTTGGTTGGAAAACGCACGAAAACGCAAAGATTTTCTAAACGTCAAACAAAATACCTATCGCAAGAGCTTATTTCATCACATAGCTTTGGTGGAAGCTAATTAGAGGCGTAAACCACAGAAGAACGGATGTTTTTGGAGCGCAATCACTCCAAAAGCTAGAGCTTTTGAAAAAAAGTAACGGTCCTCTTTTTGAAATGCACTGGGTTTAGTGTATAGCAGATATGTCAGACTTTGTTACTGTAAATCTACAAAAAATTCTCAATGATTGCAATCTTGAATGAAAAATGGGCCTTTGTTTGAGGTGTTTGTATAATTAAACCTCTAAAAATTCGCATTGGGCGCAAAAACACTCCTACAGTTGACATCGTTTTCCATTTTTATGAATCATACGCCGTTTTCGGCTGTATTCTATCGCGTGGTACCAACGGCTTTTTAAGTTTCTCCCAAAAAGTCCAAAAACTTACAAAATTTTGGGTGTTCGTATAATTATGAACCGCACTTTATTCATAAGCATGCAAAATGCAGCAGAGCATCGGATGGCATCAGAAAAATATTCACAGGCAAGATTATTTTTTCAAAGCACTTGTCTTTGTTGAGATCAATTCATATCTCTAAATTTACCAGGTTAAATATTTCACTACATTGTTACTACAGATGCACACAGAAAAAGAAAAAACAGATGATTTTCGAATGCTTTGCTTTTGCATATTCAAGTTGAACGATAGTGTTGTAGTAGTATTGTTATTTGACATGGCTTCGGAAACAGCTTTGCAAAATTTGGGTGAGAGAGCATCACAAAGACTTCCATTATGCGGATCTTTTTTGATATTACCTACTTAGACTAAATGATCGGTGACTAATTTATATAGAACCGGACAACTGTCTGACATCCCATTTTGCACTTTGACAAAAAACGGTCAAAAATTAGATTTGATCCCGAAGAGTATCTATCTTTTGCAGAGCGATCACGAGCAAGGTCTTCTTCTGATCAAAATTAATTGTCTATCAGTGGCAGAAAACCATAATGCATAATTGGTCAAAAAAATTCATGTGAAGAAATTTATAGAAACATTGCAACGCATATTGTGATACACTTGAGGAATACCTTTCTTTTTCAAGTGTGGAAGATGGCTTTTAATAATTGATGTAAATAATTATTGCAATCGATACAAACTTTTAACATCATTTTACACTCCAAAAGTTGAACATGATTTCAAGAAGCTTGCAAAGCCTACCACTCCGTGTTTCTCATCTACCGAAAGTAGGTTGTGACAACTTTGAGGGGGGGGGGGAGGGGTGATCGCGTGATTAAAAAAATCGACTGCGCGGTTTACACACGATTTAGTCATGAAGAGGAAAGCAAGCTACAGTGCTGGCCAAAAGGTTGCAGCCACCTTAATATTGTGTCGAAAGATCATGCAGTTTCATGCACTCAGAAGAAGGCTGTAGCGGAAATGACGAATATAGTGAAATTTAGGTTGGTCAAAACTTGCAGCCACTTTCCGCTAAATGTCTTTGAAAAACTTGTCATCGTCCATTATCTTGGCTACAGACGCACCCCTAAACCTTGAGATTTGCAGTGCAACTAGCACTCATCAAACCCTAAAAAAGGAGATTTTACGAAGCAAGTTTGCTTAAACGCCAAATGACCACAAAAATTTGACAGATCATAAGGTTGGCGAGGAGTAATCAGCTGATTCGTGCTCTTATAAAAAGGTTGTACCATCTGGATTTTTAGTGGCTGCTTGCGAATGCGACAGAAAAGGCATCATGTGGCATGCTTTAAAATCGAGCACCATCTCAGCTCAGATTCGGAGCATCTTTCAGCTTAAAAATTGGGCTCAGCGGTCTGAAAAGTTTTCAAACTTGATGAGAACACTGCTTCTACAAAGACGAGCACTTGCCCGAAACTCTTGCGGAGCTTTATTGGAAGCACGGAGGGCGCTACTGCCAGAGAAAATTTTTTGCGATTGTCACATCTAGGAAATGTTTGATTACTAAAG